CATACTTACCATCACATAGGTCTCTGCTTGCATTTTACTTTGGTTGTATTCTTTTTGTTTAGCTATTTCGGTATGTCGTCTTTTCATTTCCATTGTGGTTGATTAATAAGTTGTATGCAACATATAAAAAAGAAAATAGTATAAAATTTAACATTTACACCCAAAAAAAAAAAAAAAACCTCATGCATAACAAATCATAGGGGTGTGATCCCCTTCCCCTGGATCCCAAACCAACTATCACTTCATCATCTTCTTTGGGTTCTTTGTTTTGCATTTAATCACATATATATTATACAAATTTGTATTAGGGTTGTAGCAAATCAATAACACTGTTACTGTGTTACACTAACACAAACCACAATATTTAGACAAGTGAAAACACAATACACAAACCACAATATTTAGACAAAGTGATGAAAACATTGAACTAAAACTACTTAGTTATTGTTAGTATAAATGTGAAGAAGCATCGAGTTCTGGAAACATATGGATTTGGCCAATCCATAATAATTGAGTTGTTGAGAAGGTACACTAAATTATAAATCCACTTTTTGACAAACAACTTGATTGTTGTACTAGCAATAAGATGAAAGCAAATCGATTAAAATTAGTGATACTAATACCAATAAGAAGAACCAAGTCGCCTTGGTCCAGTGGTAAAGGGAGGTAATTCCCGCCACCTGGGTTCGAGTAGCATTGGCCACCGGGGTTCGAGCAATTTAATATGGTTTCCCCGGGTCCCGGGATTAGTCTTTGGGCCTAGAAAGCCTTTAAGATCAACTGAGTTATAAAAAAAAAAAAAAAAAAAAAAAATACCAATAAGAAGAGTGGAGTATGCAACAATTATCAAAGAGAAAAGAAGTGGAATATTCAGCAATAGAATCAGGAAAAGAAAACGCGTTGACGGCGGTAAACGGCCGTTTACTGAACGCGGACGGCACACGTACACTATTCTATTCTTGAATATTCCACTTCTTTTAGTGCTCTTTCATACAAACTATTCTATTCCTCTTTATCTTCAAAAGAAATACAAAAAAATATTCGCATTATACCTCAAATTAATGATATTCGTATTATAGTCGCAATCGAGATCGTAAATCCCAAAATCCCATCGGCCAACTTACTAAACATAGGTCCTTATCATGTGGTTGTGATGGTCAAATTAAGGCTACGCAATGACTTTGGTACTCTCGATAATCTATTCTATTTACTTGCCGTGTCCAACGTAAGGCGGTTAAACAATTTTGCCATGTCATAAAGCAAACAACATTTTCCGTTTATTGTTTGCTTAATGTAAACTATGGGTCTTAAATATATATGACAAAGGCCTCAACTCTTTTAAAGTTTTTAAGTGTAACTTGTACATATGAGTATGCGTTTATCAATGGTAAAAACTCGTAAATTTATATTCAGAAAAATGTGGGTTTTTATATGTATAGATGATGGTCTCACTTGATCCTATAAGGTATGAGACTTTCTTTTAATTCGAAAATGATGAATTGTAAATGTGTTGCAATTTCTTTTCCACTCTATAGTAATTCGACAAATAAATGAAATCAATTGTGTAGTTGTCCTTTAATGTTTGAGACTTTAATTATTGTTTTAGGGCTTAGGTTTCGCCGCGTCTTGAACGGCATCGTGGACGATGGGGTAGTTAGTAAAGAGTGAGTGGGACAAGACAACCCACACAAGTTTCATATGGTAGATTCTGACATATTTAATCCTTTTATTTATTACGCTTTGGGAAGCGGTTGAATGATTAAACTGATACGTGGGATATGGTTCATAATTGAGTTTATTTTTCTCTGGTATTCTCACATGTATGTGTGTTACTACTAAACATAGTTGCTGTTGCTAATTTCGTTGATTGTCTTTACTATGTTAGTAAGTATAGCAAGTATAGTAGCAACGGATTCCAAACCAATTATCTGTCGTTAAAAAAATTGAGAATTACCAATGAACTTAACAATAACATCTTCTTCTTCTTTTTTATTGATAAGCAACAACCTAACCTAAGGTGAAATTATTCAATTAGCAACGACATTTTAGTAGTTAATTTGGTCGAATTACCAACGTTTTATGTACATGCGCATTCGGTGTTTTTTTTTTTTCTTGGAAAAATACTGCAATAAAAAGACTGTCTATAATGATTACATCAAAGTGAAATAACAGCAAATTTGTGGTTGGCGTAGAAATACAAGAAAACAGGTTTGTGATCGCCATTTGGACAGATGTCGTGGTGGTTATCTCCATATAAACAATTAAGCGTTTATAATCTATGTATTATATTGATATATACACATATTTATTGCGAAGGAAAAACATTACACAATTTTAGAAGGTTTTTTTTTTTGGGAATGAACTTTTTTTTTTTTTTTTTACAGTCTTGGGTATGAATTTATATACCAAGTGTATGTAAAAGTCTTGCATATAGTAGTTGAAGTTAATGAACATTATTTATATTTCACTCTTTGATTAGCCCCTTTACAGATTGAAAATGTTAAAGTGGACCTAAAACTAAAAAGTAAAACTGAGAAAAAAGGTTTCTTAAAGCAAAAAAATGAAAAACAAACCCGTGATGATCGAATTGTTATACTCCTATGATTGATTTGAAGGTTGGAGGACTTAGAGTTCAGAGTGATTAGCTACTGTGAACATTTTAAATTGCAAGATTACTCAACCTTCGATCCAAAATCTCTTGGTTTTTGCAAATCAATAAACCATAAAAGCAAATTTGTGGTCACGAGATCTCATGACAAAAACGTGGCGTTTCTACACCATAAAATTAACGTAATGGTCAATTTTTAATATATCTATATCACCAATATTTAAATTTGTATCCATCGCTCTTTGTTCAGTTAGGGATAGATCTTTCATTTAGGAAGACAACATATATTACAAAATTGTTTGTAAAATCAAAACCTGTTTTATTTTTGGGCTCCGTTCATGTTTATATAATACACATTATTATATTAGAATAATATAATTTATGAGAATTACAATTTTTATTTTACTGACCGTGTTATAAATAGTAAATAAATGTATTTTTTTAAGTATTATATAAATTAAATATGACAAAAGAAAATTTTTACTGACCGTTTGTGTTTATTATTTGTAAAACTTTTAACAAAAAGTTAAAAACATTTTTCTATTTTATCTTGACATATTGACATATTAAAATTTCTATCTCGAAATGAAGTCAAGAAAAAACCTCACAACACAAATACAGTAAAAGATGTGTCAAGGCACAAGTTTAATTTGTTTTCCTTCAAACTTTTCTCACAAAAACGTACAATATGAATTTTCTTGTGAATCATATAAAAGATTGGAACACAAAAACAGAGGTAGCAAGATACATGATACATGGCAGGCTAATTTCATAAGAAGACTCAAGACGGTTTCAGAAAAAGCAAACTTCTTTACAAATAAATGTATTTAACTTCCTCAGGACAAATACAAGAATACAAAAACATACCAAGCTCCTCAAAGCTTTTTATTACAGAATCAAACAATAAAAATTCTACATCGGAGAGTAACCACCGGAAAAGAAAAGGAAAGGAGATGACGATAGGCGGTTTTGCTTCCGAAACAAATTTCCAAGTATCCAGTAAATTTTTTGGTTCCCGATGATACATACTAAGCACGATTAAACAAAACACACACAAAAGTAAAGGAAGTACCTTTGAGCAATCTTGTGGTTTACTTTCTCATTCCGCTCTAGACTGGCCAGCTCGTGAGGAAAGGATGATTCCCACAATAAGCCCGTAAAGAGCGAGCGCTTCTGCGAAGATAAGGATAAGAATCATCCCGACAAAGAGCTTAGGCTGCTGAGCATTTGCCCTGAAAAGAATCGCAAAAGGACAAGTCAAACACCAATGTCCATAATACCTCAAAGCTTATAAGTTGCAGGACGAGAGACAAACCTGACACCGGCATCACCCACAATCCCAATGGCCATCCCAGCTGAAAGACCAGCAAGACCACAAGCAAGACCAGACGAAAGATGAGCATATCCATCAAAGAGGTAGTAAGACTTAGCCTTGGGGTTAATCCCGGTACTGATGATAACAGCAATGATCAATCCATAGATACCCAAAACACCAGCCATAACAACAGGGACAATCGATTTCATGACCAACTCAGGCCTCATAACTCCCATAGAAGCCACACCAACACCACTCTTTGCGGTTCCATAAGCAGCTCCCATACCTGAATCCATCCAATGCAATTCAAGGATTCAACATGGTTTCGTATGATCAAAATAAAGCATCCAAAATTCGATGAATGCACAACGGAATGGAATCGAATCTCTATCTCAGATTTATAGCCAAGTAAGGTCAAATGGTGATTTATAGCTCAAATCCAAATCACATCCAATAAATCACAAATTCGTTCTCTTTGCAGATGGAACCTAAAAAGACTCATACTTTCAATCAATCACGATCACACAAAGCGATCTGAAACAAAGTTCAGAGCTATGTGCGGAAGAATTTATAAAAATCACAGAAATTTGTTTCCCAGAAAATGGGAACACGATCACGAACAAAGAAACAGATCAAAATGGAAAAGATAAGAGAAAATGAAATTACAGGAGAAGACGAGTGCGGCTGCGGCGCCGAGGAAGCCGAAGAAGGGAGCTGTTTCATCGCCGCTGAACGTAGACATGTCGAAGTTTTGTATCTAAGATCTCAAATCTGAAATCGAGTCGATGAAATCTGGCGAGAGAGAGAGAGAGAGAGAGAGAGAGAAAGAGACAGAGATCGAGAGAGATGAGGATATCGCTGTTGAATTTATTTATTTTATTTTTTCTTGTTTTTGTTTTCAGATGAGTGGAAGGGAACAACGTTGCTTGTTCTGTAACAAGGACGACCACGTCATTTTGGGCCTGGCCCTACTTTTGATTAAACTAAGCCCATTATTTTATATACCAACTTCTAGTAGTATAAGTAACATAAACAATGGATTAGGGTCATGCACAATTATTTTTATTGAATATATGAGATTTTCAACATTTTCACATACATTATTTGTTATCTGGTCCATGACAATTATCTATAAACATGATATCTTCTTTGAATCAATTATTGATTTCACATATGAAACCGAATTGGTTAATTTCTACTTGGGTCATGGTGAGAGCTGACATTAACACCAAACAAAGACATTACAACGAAAGCAGAAACATGAGCTTATGACCAAACCCTTACACTGATTAATCCAAAATAACAATTTGTTGGAGAAAGCTGCGTAATGGAACCAAACAAGCTTTCAGGCGCCATAATGAACTGCCATCGGTATTCACCTTCTCCGGTTCTCCATTCCGCCTTAGTCTTGTCCAAAAACTTCACACAAAAACATGGAAAATGATTCATGCGTTGATTTATTAACACTTGTTTCTATTATAGATGCTTTTCAGCAGCATATATTATCCAATGCTTTCTAGTCATAAGACTGACATGTTAAGGCTATCTACCTCGACTTTAATTCAAGGGAATGAAATGATATATGTTCCGGGTGTACTAAGATGAATGATCTCTCCTAAAAAGCTTTCGCTCATAGATGAGTTGAGAACATGCGATGACTTACCGCGGAGCGTTCTATCAGAGCATTGCACTCGTTGCTTGGTGCATAAACGGCATCAGACCATTACTTTACATAAATTATGTCTTCGTCCGGGTCATCCACTTCCCAATCTTGATTATCCTCTGCTAAATCAGATGGTTCTGGTAGCCCTTCGTTTACACCATCACCACTTCCTTTCTCAGCTTTTATTTTGTCCAGTATTGCAATAACCTGAAACAATCTCTAAATCAGTTTCTGACAAAAAAAACTTGGTGGAAAGAATAAATGCACATCAGACAGATCATGATACAGTTCCTTGTATAACTAGCAGCAACTAGAAATTGCCGGTGTCTAATAGAATACAGAAACAAGTTTTCAAAGCAGAACTCCGAAGAATCATCAAAATTAACTAGGTCATAACAATGTGTGCTAGATGTACCACAAAATAGAGTAAGCTACAAGTTTAACCGGCATCATTGGGACATTCATCTACTAATCGAAGATAACCTAAAATTTCATAAAACGCAGGAATATAGTATTAGAAGCCTTACTCTGCTTCCTCTTTCCATGGATTCATCCTCAATAAATCTGACCTCAGGCGTCAATCTCAACTTCATTCGCTTCCCAAGCTCACTCCTAACGTACTTAGCTTTTGATTTCAACCCCGCAATTGCAACGTCTTTCCCTCTATCATCCCCAAACACGGATACATATACTTTAACCACCTACAACCCCAAAAGAAACCATTTCAGCCAGTAACATCTGTCTATGTAACACTCCCAAATCAGCACACACAATTTCAACAACAAAGTCTTATCATAAATCATAAAACACAGAATACGAATTGATTCTGTAAAGAACTGATAACAATACTCGGATTTAAACTGTGTAAAGCCACTATGTTCAAGTTAAGACAATTCTGGAACCAAAGATTTTGAAAGACCCTAAATTTATACTCCATCTGCATAAATAGAGCAAGACCCACATGAATACATTACATACACAGGAGATTATAATTAGGGTTTCTCATTACCTGCAAATCATTAGATACCTCAACATCGCTAATGGTGGTAAGAGAAGAGAGGTAGCGGTCAGCTCCAAGTGCAGCTTCAGGTAAGACAGCGTGTTGTAAAACCGTGTCTGTGAGAAGCATGTCGGAGAGTTCTCTCATTATCTGCTTAGCCACCATCTTCACTCGCCTCGGGTTCGCCATACACTGTACGGTCCGGCGAACGGAGAGATTCGTACGGAGGTTAACCGGAGCCATTGATTGCGGGAAGTGCAAAGACTGCGACTTGGAATAAACGGTGTTGATTGGCGGATGATGGAGGAAGAAGAAGTGAGATTGATGGGTGTGGAGCAAGTTAGGCATCGTCGTCACTCACAATGGATCCTTAAATCTCTCTCTTCTGTGTTTTGGATTTGAAAAGGTCTAAGGAAGTAACGAAACAAGAAACAATTATCCAGTGTTCTGAGGGTATAGTAGTAATTTCCAACAATCGACGGTGACGTGGAAGAGTTTAATCCACGAAAACCGATCCGAGTTTTAAATTAAATCCAAGTAACCAAATCGATAACCGAATCAATTTCAGTAAACAGAGATGTTTCTCTCTTATAATGTATCAGCCAAAATACATTTTCGATTTTCAGTAAATTGCAATGAAAACAAGAAAAGATTTGAATTCTAAATGAGACAAAAGTAAAAAAAAAAAAAACTTTTAAAGATTCGGACAAGAACAACCCTTTATCCATCCGAGACTCAATAAAATAGTAAATGTGGTAGCAATTAAGGTCAAATGGAACACAAAATTCAACAAGATTTCGTCATCATATTACTCCATTAGTACCCAAAATTGATGATCATAACGCAGATCTTGATCTGCTATCTACCGTACCCAACCTCCTTCAATGTTGTTGATTCCTCCAACGAGACCATCATCGATAAAATCTCCTCCTCGCTTCACCTTATCCTCTGTGGGCTTCACCGGATAGTCCCCAGTGAAGCATGCGTAGCAGAAGCTTCTAGAATCTTCCCCCAAATGTTTCTTTAACGTCTCAAACGACAAAAATGCAAGGGAATCACATCCGATGTAATCCCTGATTTCATCAACACTCATCCTATTCGATATCAACTCATTTGAACTAGGCGTGTCCACTCCGTAGTAACAAGATGCAATAATAGGAGGACTCGCGATCCTCATGTGAACCTCTTTGGCACCCGCTTCTCTCAATAAACGTACAATCTTGGACGAAGTTGTTCCTCTAACAATCGAATCATCAACAACAACAACTCTTTTCCCTTCTAAAACTCCTCGGACTGGCGATAGCTTCAGCTTCACTCCAAAGTCTCTGATTTTCTGAGACGGCTCAATGAAAGTCCTTCCAACATAATGAGACCTAATCAAACCTTGCTGAAACGCTACTCCAGCTTTAGCCGCGTAACCAAGAGCAGCCACAACACCCGAGTCAGGCACAGCGATCACCACATCGCAATCAACAGGTGACTCAGTAGCTAAAATCTCACCAAAGACATGCCTAGACTCATACACAGACCGACCAAAGACAATCGAATTAGGCAACGAGAAGTAAATATGTTCGAAAATGCATTGCTTAGGCTCAGGATGAGGCATCAAACACTGACATTTGACACCGTCTTTATCCACAACCAAAACCTCACCAGGATAAACCTCTCTCTCATATGTAGCCTCAATCAAATCAAGAGCACAAGTCTCCGAAGCAAAGACAACAGCTCCATTACTTCTTCTACCCATAACTAAAGGCCTAAACCCATGTGGGTCACGAACAGCGACAAGCTTATCCTCCGTAACAAACACCATCGAATAAGCACCTTGAAGCTTCTCACAAGCATCAACAATCCTCATGAAAAAGGGTCTAGCTTTAGAAATCGCAATCAAATGAAGCACAACCTCAGTGTCAGAGCTAGTATTGAAAATCGAACCATTTTCCTCTAAATCAGCTCTCAATTTCGTGTAATTCACTAAATTCCCATTGTGAGCAACACCAACAGAGCCAAATCGATAACCAGCAACAAACGGCTGAACATTCTTGAGCATAGAAGAACCAGCCGTAGAGTACCTGACATGACCAATGGCTATGTCTCCTGGTAACTGGTCGAGTTTGGATTCGCTGAAAACCTCAGAGACCAAACCAACACCTGTAATGGTCTGAAGAACCTTATCTTTACTAACGGTAACAATACCTGCACCTTCTTGACCTCGATGCTGAAGCGCGTGGAGAGCTAAGTAACAGAGTCGTGAAGCTTCAGAGTCGCCGTAGATTCCGACAACCCCACACTCTTCCCGAGGCTTCTCGTCATAATCATCGTTGTCTGCCGCCAAAAGGGTAAGAGGGTTTGAAACTCTAAGCGGAAGCGAGGGAGAAGAAGAAGAAGAGGAGATAGAAGCGGGAAGAGGAGAGAAGGAGGAGGAAGATGAGGGTTTAAGGAAGGGATTACGGAGGAAACGGTGAGGCTTATTGTTGATGTTGTTAGAGAGCTTACTGGGTTTAGCATTGAGAGATAGAGAAGAAGAGATGCTAGAGGTGGCCGCCATGGATGGTGATGATGGAGGATTTTTGAGAGCAATGCGAAAAATTGCTCTTTTAGGTTTTTTTTTATATTTTGTTTCTGATTTGTTTTTTTTTCTTGGGGTCAATTTGGGGAAAGGGTTTTATTTGACTGTGTATGTATAGCACACGTCGTCAGTGAAGTGACCGCCTCTCCCTTTTTTTTTTTTTTTTTTCTTTCTGAGAATCTTTTTAAACAATTTTTCTTTCGGCTTAAAATTCTTTGTAGTACTTTGATGATATTTTAGAAGAGAATTTTATTCGAGGTGGGTCCCTTCTTTTGTGGCTCAAAATGCAATTTTAAAATAAAGCGGGTCGGGTTGATACAAAGCGGGTCGGGCGCACACATTTATAGAAAGCAATTATAATTCCTCAAATTAAAGCCATATGGGCTCTTCTATAAGGGTTTGTGAAAGGCCTGCTTTTTCAAATTTTAGGAAAATCAAAACAAAAGATAACAACAGATTTTTTAAATAAAGAAAGATATCCGAATATTTATTAAATAAATTTTTTTTGGGAAAAATAGTATTTATTAATTGTTTTATTTTATATATCAAATAATCATCAATTCAATACCCTTACCAAAAATATACACACAACCCTATTATGAACTGTTGTTGACCAATTTTTAAAAAAAAAATTTGTGAAAACAATTAAATAGTTGAGTTCACTGTATATAAGAAAGCAGTGTTTTTAATTTTTGATTGGCAAGATAAGGATAAGGAAAATTAAAACTAAAAAGAGCGAAAAAAAACCAGAAAAAGATAAAGAGTAAAATCGTAATTTAGCAAACGTTCAAGGGGTATAATAATAAAACCTAATAAATCATTAACCCTTAAATACCCCAACGCTCCCCTAAATATTCCCTGCTTGCCGTATTATCCCAAAATTGGTGAAAGCAACGCCTAAAGCAAAAATGTCTCTTCTCTAACCCTTTTTGTTTTTTTCTTTCTCTCCAACTTTCCCTTCATTTTCTGGGGAATAGCGAGCCAAAAACGCAAGAAGCATCCACAAGAAGCAATTGTTCGATATCAATGGGGAAGAACAATAAGATCGGAAGCGTTGTTCGGATCCGTCAGATGCTTAAACAATGGCAGAAGAAAGCTCACATCGGATCCAACAACAACGATACTGTTTCCGATGTACCTCCTGGTCACGTTGCTGTTTCCGTCGGTGAGAATCGTCGGAGATACGTTGTCCGTGCGAAGCATTTGAATCATCCGATCTTTCGACGGCTTCTCGCTGAGGCTGAGGAAGAGTATGGATTCGCTAACGTTGGTCCGTTAGCGATTCCTTGTGATGAATCGTTGTTTGAGGATATTATTGCGATTGTGAGTCGGAGTGAGTCGTCATCTGGACGAGGTAATCCGGAGGCGACGCTTGAGGATCTCCGGAGGTGTAGTCACGTCGGATTGGCGAAGAACAACGTTGAATCTCGGCCGTTGCTTCCTGGGATTGCTGAAAAATCTGTGTGCTAAACAAATTTGAATCGATGGAATTTGCAAACGGAATTTGGATTGAAGCTTTGGTTAGAGATTTGCTTCTTCTTTTTTTTTGAAAGTTTTTTATTTAATTTCGTTGCTAATTTTTATGATTCTAGTTTTGGGAAGGAGATGGCAAAATTAGGGTTTGATTGTTTTTGGTTGTCGTCGCCAGTGTCGTCGTCCCAGATTGATGAAGGAGATAGTTTTTTGGAGAGGAGCCCCTCAGTTTTTATTTAGATATTTGGTCATGAGATTCTTATTTATATTTCTTTTGGCTATTTTCAATTGTATATTCAGATTTCTGAATTTTAACTGAGGAATAATAAGTTAATTTTAAAATATACTTGAGATTTTCTCATTTTAGTTGAAGTATCCATATTATATAGCTCTTGTTACCGAAATTTTTGAGATTACAAACGTAATTTGCAATTGTTAGCCTATGTTCAAAAGATAGTTTGCAATTTACAACCAAATATGATTTGCAAAATACCGTTCAAATTTTCAGATCTACCGTTTCAAGTTTCAACACTATTCATTAGAGTAACATTTTTTAACAATAACAGTAAACATCTGATGATATGAGAAAATAATTTTAAAATTTTAAGAGACAAACCAAGTTACATAGAAAAATCACTTAAAACAAGCAATTGATGCAAAAAAAGATCGTGTCAATCGTATTTGATTATAATCTGGAATATGTTTTTTTTTTTTAAATCTGGAATATGTTAATTGATACAACGACATATATGCAAAGATATCGTCATATCTGCTTACTATATATATGAAGAATACTAGATGTTAACCCGCGGTATACCGCGGGTCTATATTTTTATTAAATAAAAAATTGAATATTTTTTTTAAGATGATCTATAAATATATGCTACTGTATAGTACACCTTGGGACAATATTTTATAACTAATAATTAGAAATTTTAAATTGTATTTATTTTATTAATATTGTTTGTCTTGTTTTGTTTAGTGTTTAAGATTGTATAATTGTATTTAGATTGTTAATTCTAGGATTTTACCCGTAGTATATCATCTCATATTAATATCGACCAAAACCCGTCTCATCATATAACTCTGTCCCGTGAAATTAAACGTCATTTTGTCATTTTATTATAAAGTTCAAATATTTATAATACTTGAAACTTCATAAAAGTTTTAATATCAACCCAAACTTCATAATTATATTTTGATTGTTATATTTAGGATTTCACCCGTAGTATACCGTCTCGTATTAATATTTTTTATAAATATTTATAATATTTAAACTTCTTATAAATTCGTATAAAGTTCAAATATTTATAATAGTTGAAACTTCATAAAAGTTTTAATATCGACCCAAACTTCATAATTGTATTTTGATTGTTATA